GAAAGTGATGATTTTAATGTGATATTGGATGATGAGATTTTATCTACTAAACCATCCAAAAGATACTAAACAAAAAAAATCTAATGTGTCTAGTCAAAGTTCAACGACATGTATACTTAAAGAATAAAAGGCTAAAGGAGTGTCCCAAATTCTATTAATGTGCTGAATCATTGAAAGAATAAAATACATAACCAGATAGATGTCACGAGGAAGAAAATGAGAGAATTAAAAATTCAAGTATTTTTTTATTGGATGCATGATATTGACATTCATTTTAATGTTGTTAATTATGATGGATTCCTTGTAATAGTTGAGGCATTTGGACAATTTAGTTTTGGGATGAAACCTCCTAATTATCATGAAGTGGGGTCTCCTTATTTGAAGAAATAAGTGAAACACACACAATAACTTCTGCAACGCCATAAGAACGATTATCTTAGGTATGGTTGTTCTCTTATAGTTGATAGTTGGATATCTTGTAATGGAAAAAATTTAGTAAACTATTTTATGAATTGTTCAAGATGAACTATATTCATAAAGTTAGATAATGTCAATTCTTACTCAAACAATGCAACTCATATACTTTCGAATAGTTGTGCAAGTTTATTAAAGAGATTGAACCACATAATGTCATTCAAACAATTACTTATAATTCTTATAAGAATGCTCTTGTAGGTTTTTCACTCATTATAAACATCCATTTGGTTTAAGTTAATACTTTTTTTTAGGTTATTCACAATTTAAAACTTATGTAGGTCCACTACAAGAAAAACATTAATTTACAATGGCTATATCTGCCAGAAAATGAGAGAAATCTACTGGAAAGGCAACTTTCTGGCGGAAAGTGATTAGATGGTAAAAAGTGCATTAGAATTAAGTTTCCGACAGACTTCCGATGGAAATTTGTCCAAAAATGGCGTTTTCTATAACTCGCTTTCCAACGGTTTTATCAGCTAGAATTTCTGGCAATTTTTTCGACAGATAATCGGCTGGAAATTTTTTGGATATTTAGCCATAAGGCTTGGTGGAAAAACCGACAGAATTTTCGACGGATAATCCCCCGGAAATTACGGCGGATATATTCTGCTAGAAACCTGCAGCACAAAAAAAAAAATAGCGCTTTCCCTTAATTATTGTACAACACAAAATCCTTCAATCATACAGTTAAAACATACATGTATTATCCTCATATTTCAACATTGCACATAAATATTGATGCTAAAGTAATAACATATTTGACTAGAAGAAAATGTTCTACAATTACCAAATAGTTGTACAACAAATGTCAAGTTTCTTATACAATAAAAACTCAACATAAAATCTACAAACACATAGTTATAACACGTCCAGTAGTAACACATAGTCTACTCAAAATATGTTTCGTCATTCTCCTCCTCTATTGATGCTAGTTGCTTTCCACTGAACTGCTCCCTCATTCTCTTCCTCTAGTATATGACTATGTTCCATCTGCATATGCATGTCAGCTTTTAATTTTCGAACATGATCTAGCTCTGTTGTAAGGGCAGCCACCTATTAATTGGCTATACAATCTCTCCTGGTTGCTTCCTAAGAAGCTGGAGCTACCAGAGTTCTGCCCCTTGTACGTGTAGGCTTGCAAGCCTAACCAATAAACTTGTCCTTGAGCATTCAGATGTTTTCTTCCTCAGTTATATCGGAATTTGTAGACGGGCTGCATCGAGAGTCAAAATGTGGCTCGTATTCACCATGAAAAGTCCAATATCGATATTCTGACATGAATCCTCTGCAATATAAATCAATAGTTTCCTCATTTGGTGTGAGGTGCACTTGATTTTTATGTTTAGAACATGGACAACGAAACCTCCCACCCGAGATAGAGGAAGGTAGTTGATAGGTTGTCTGAATGAAAAAAATTATCCCATTAATGAACTCACATGTTAATGTCATCCATCCTTGCACCAATCGATTATACATCCAACATTATTTATTCCTAATATTCATAATATGAAGAATTTATTCTACACATAATATAAAGTTATTAGTGATTGTGTTTGCACTAGCGACTTTGAGACATTACTAACTAGAGTAAGATATGCAGTTTTAAAACTTAAGTAATATGAGTGAAATGTGATAATCTTTCGTCTCTCTACAAAAAATATGATACTACTAAATAGAGTTAAGCACTCTCCTCATCATTTTTATTACTTGATACAATAACGAGCACTTGCATTCTAAATATGATTTACAACATAGAAAAATTGAACTTTCCTTTGACATCTTATCAGTGAATATAAACACAAGTAAATTTTCTGTGTTTACACCATAGCTTCATCACATGTTGATTGAACTAAATGCATCATACTATATGATTAAGCCATCAATTTTTTAAAAAGCCTTATTAGAGTTTCTTTTCTATCTTATTATTAGTACACTTGTTATAGTAACAATTCTTTTTTTGAAAGAGTTTTTAAGAAAATTACAAGCTAGAGCTTTTCAAGAGGGATTTGAAAGGAGTGTTTGGAGAGAATTTTAAAAGAAATCTTCTAGAGAAGTCCAAGAAATTTGTGTATGAGGTTCACCATGATTGTTCTAACTCAATATATGATTTTTTTTTCTTTTGAATGTTATTCAAGTTCTTAGGAGAAGAACTTATTAAAGATCTTGCTTGTAAGATCTCAAAGGCCTCTTTTTCTCCTACAATTAATGTGAGTACACTCTATGACACATTTCCTAGTCAATAATACTTCACCTACTGAACCCTTTATATTAAATGTGAAGATGATTAATGATGTGCAATAAATATACATAAGATATTTTGCCTAAACAGGCCTATATAATTTTCAAACATAAGCTCAAATAAATATATATACAAATGAATATTATGTTAAGAGAGAATCACATGCTTAATCTAAGTATATAGGAGCCTTCTTGATGTATTTGAAAATGAGAAGGATAATATCTCAATATCTTTATTTTGACCCAACTACAAAACATATTTTAGGGTGAGAAAACTTACGGATTGAAGGCGAGGATGAACAATCTTGGAGAGCGAGTTGGAAAGACGAGGAATGACATCAAATCGATCGACATCGAACAAAGCACGAGAGAGGATTTTCACGAATGGGAGTGGGAACGGGAGTCAGATACAAAAATTCGCATAATAAGTTGACAAACAAGGCAAAATGGCAAAATAGGGCTATTTTCGGGGAATGTTATGGCGGAATTTCCTTCGGAAATAATTCACCGACTTTAAGTAAGCCGGCGGATTTTTTGCTGGAGTTTACAATGGAAGCTTTCCGGCGGAATATTTGTCGAAACTATTTGCCGGCTTTAAGTAGGCTAGCAGAAGTTCCGACAAACTATCCATCGGTAACTTCAAACTATTTTTCATCATCAAATCTATTGGTGTTTCCGCCGCTATTTCTGGCGATCCGTTATCCGCCGGAAATAGCCGTTTTTTCCATAGTGGTCATTGTTTGAATATAATGATTTAATGTAGACTATGGTCATGATTTGAGAAGACGGTAGTAGCACATAATTTCATTTTTTTTAGATCTAGATTGCTTAATTTAATGAGGAGATGAACAAATCAAAGATCACTAACTAGTCAAACCTGCCAAGACTCATTTTGTAAATTCCTATCGGAAATAATTATATTCAAAAGGAAATGTTTACATGTAAGGAATTTGTGTTGGGTTCTTATACATAAGAAGCTAAAGCAAAGCAGGCACAATAAATCATCTCGAGCCCATCTTTCTGTAATATTGTTATTATACATAAGAAGCTATGGCAAAGAAAGTATAATAAATCATCTTAATTCAATCTTTCTAGAATATTGTTGTATGTACGCTAAAAATAGGTGATCCGTTGTTGAAGGTGCTTAGATTGGCTTATGGAGAAAAAGTATTTAATGAGTTATATACATGAAGTGATGGATCAGGCCAAAGAAGTAATTGCTGCAAGTTTTAACTATCCTTTGTTAAATATGGGAAGTATAGCTCCACTGATCTTTGTGTGCAGCTGTGTGTTTTTTTAATTCTTAAATATTTTTTCAGTAACTTTAATATTGTAAGGGACAAGGAAGCTAATGGATTATATGCATACATGGGAATATTGGCTAAAGGTGTCAATAAAGATGACAAAGTTATCAATGTGTTGGGTGTATACATTAGGGGTGAATGACTTCTTCCGTAAGATAAAAGATATTTTTTTTGGCCTAGGTAGGGGTGTAAACAAGTCGAGTTGATTTTAGTATCTGCTTAATCGAGCTGAGCTCGTTTAATTCTTACAAAGCTCAAGCTAAACTCATTTATTTGTTAAAAAAATTTTAGGCTTGAGTTTGTTAGGAAGCTCGAGCTTTGACTCGATTGTTGAGCTCAATTTCTTAATTTTAAGTTAAAATTTTTCAGTTTTTATTAAATTTTATTTTTAATATACAAATAAAATAATGACAATATATTATATAATGCTAATTTAAAATTAAATTTTAAATATAATTTATGTTAATTGAACGGCTCAAAAAGCTTATGAGCTAAGTTAGGTTTAGCTTAAGCTCAAGCTCGTATAATATATGAGCTTGAGTAAAGGCTCGACCGTGAACTTGTGGCTGAGATGTTGACCAGTTGAACTTAATTAACTTAAGCATCAGCTTTATTATTTTTATTATCATGATGATTTTTCATTTAATTTAATGGCTTTTTTATATGTATTTTTATTCACAATTTTATATTTTGTGCCATAGGAAAATCCAGAATATTCTCCCGACTATTAATAAGTGGTCAATTTAGTTCTGATGATTGATAGTGCTCTAATTTAGTCCCCCGACAATTAAAAATTTTTCGCAATTGGTCCCTAAGGTCGAAATTCCCAAGAAAGGCAGTTAAAGTTAATGTTAAAGGTTAATGTTAAGGGTCTTTTAGGTATTGCAAGTGTTTTATATTGATACTGAACAACTGTGATGAAATATAATACGTGAAAAGAAATATATATTGCTACTGACATAAAGATGCATAGAACTGCAGATCATGAAAAAAGTGGAGCTTGTTCAGCTGAAGAGGACCAATTTGAAGTCAGTTTAGGAGAAACCGTTCTTGAGGGCGAGCAAGCAGCAGAAGACAGAGAGCTGAAGCACCAGCTTCTCAAAAAGTATAGTGGTTATCTAGGCAGCCTTAGACAAGAGCTCTCCAAGAAGAAGAAGAAAGGCAAGTTGCCAAAGGAAGCTAGGCAGAAACTTCTCAGCTGGTGGGAGCTGCACAACAAGTGGCCTTATCCATCAGTACTGCATTCCAGTTCCTTGTTTATTTCCCTTAATAATGCAAGATGATGTTGATTTTTGTTTGGGACGGCTTTCTTACAGCTTCTTAAAACAGCTTTTCAATATAAAAGTTCTAATTTTTGTACTAAAAAGTTGCTTTAAGAAGCGGTAAGAAAGCCGTCCCAAATGAAGCCTTGGCCTTTACAATAATGTGGTTGCTCGACATTGCAGGAATCAGAGAAGGTTGCATTGGCGGAATCGACGGGGCTCGACCAAAAGCAGATCAACAACTGGTTTATAAACCAAAGGAAACGGCACTGGAAGCCATCAGAGGAGATGCAGTTCATGGTATTGGATGGCTACCAGCAGCATCAACAGCAAAATACTACTTTCTATTTGGAGGGGCATTTCATGGGGGATGGAAATCTGTACCGCATTGGTTCATGACAAATTATGCATGGGTTGAAGCTTCTGAATTCATCTTCTCGTGTTTATTCTCTCACAATGTGGCTTTAATGATTATTATTGTTATTTAAAATAAAAGTTAGTATGTTCTGTATTCTAAAATGGCAATTTGATGAATCAGTGAATTGTTAAATTCTTGAAATAGATGGATTAATTAGCATTTTCTTTGATAGAACTTCGAACAATTTTATCCTAATTATCCGTAGTTAATATTACTTTCAAATTGCCAATATGTTTATGTAATATATTACAAAATCTTTGAGTTTCACTGTTTGAATCTTTACAAGGACATAATGCTCAGTGCCCACAAAGAACTAAAGCTGGTAAATGACTGCATTGGGACAACAGAGAAAAAACACTATATGCATCGTAATATTCATTTCCTGTACGTATAAACTCTGTAAGCATATACATTTCAATGTTGCTGACCTGCTCACTGTAAAAACTACGACTTTATATGTAAAACCAGTGGTGATTCACCCTTCTCAACAACAAATGAATGAGATGATCTTTTCGCTGGAGTAGTTACTTCCAGACTATAACTCCCATGGTACCCTCTGAATTTAAACTCTCCAGAGTCATCAACAAGCCCATCAGCATGGGTTAACCACTCCTGTTTCAGAGCAAGATACCTCTTCCCAGCTTCATTAATGTCACCCTCAGCATCAACCAAGTGAGAATTATCCCTACACATCAACTCCCAGAATCCCCAAAGCATTATCCCCTCAACAGCCGGATGCGCATAGGCCTCTCGAAGCATGACCTCTAAATCCTCCGCACGGACATGTTCATTTGAAGCGGCGACATCGAGTTCAGTAAACCAAATAGGAAGTCCAAGTATGGCTAACTTATCCAGAGCAGCACACACGATTTGTCCCACTGGATTGTTAATATGTCCTTGTAGACCGATTCCATCTACTGGTGCACCATGTTCTTGCAAATCAAGGATATGATGAATAAACATCTCTGGAGAAGCCTTTGCATCACAACCATCTTCAACGTTGTAATCATTAACAAAAAGGGTGGCTGAAGGATCCAGTTTGCGTGCTTCTTCAAACATGTAGATCCTGATATTTTCCCCAAGTCTATCTTTATAGAATGACCCATGAAGCATTTCATTGTTCACATCATAATGCCTAAATTTACCTTTATATCTAGAGAGAAGGCTTCTGAGACGATTCTGAACAGCTCTCATTAGATCATTTTTGTCTAGACATTTTACCCAATGTTGAACAGCATCTTCGACCTCCCAAAATATGCAATGACCTCTAGTATACATTCCATGTTTCTTGCAGAAATCAAGCATCTCATCAGCATCCCTATAGTTGTATCTTCCCTGTTCAGGTTCTGTATGATACCACTTCAGCTCATTCCCAAAAACAGCCCAGTTGAAATTCTTCACAAAGAAATCAACAAGCTCCTCATTTTCAATGCTCGACCTACTAATACATGATCCGAATGGAAAGCTATTCTGTAGTTGTCTAACTTTGACAATTGTCTTAGATGCATTGCCAGCATCAATTACTGGAAATTTTAGGATGATATCGCGTTTCCTTACCTGCAATGGAAAAAAGTATGGCTTAACAAAGTTTAGAATCAAGGTATTATAAAGCCTAACTATAGAAGGATTCTCTCAAAGGGAACATTACTTAACCTCCTATGGTTGATCACAAAATACTTTTTAGCTAAAGAAATGAATCAAATTAGTATTATTTTGGAGGTGATTACTAAAATAATGAATATTGTTATTATTGTTTTGATTGTAGTCACTAAAATAATGAATCCAACTTTCAATGTTTAAATATGAATAAGGGCAGGGCAATTGGAGAAAGATCCATTATTTTAGTAAACACATTCAAAACAACGATAATAAGATCCACAATTTTAGGAACCATATTGAAAACAACAGTAACTTAATTCATAATTTGGACTGAAATATTTTATTATCATCCATAGAACCTTAAAGCAATTCATCCTTATTTTAAAGACCTTGTCCGTTTTCTGCTTTAGATTGTCAAAACGAGCCTTCCTGTCAACAGGAAATATGTGAAGCCCAGCAACCATCAAATCAACCCCCATTGAAGGACCTTGCACATAGACTATAACTTTGGATGGCTGCTTCTCAAGTCTGAATGAACCCACAATTTCATTCCATCTGTCATCAGTAACTTCAACGTGCCCACCATTGACCCAACGGTCATCCACCCCAAGGGCCAAATTAATAATTTGAGGACTTTTTGTACCTGTTCCAACACGAACCCATGCGGCAACCTGGTATGTCACATGTAAGACTAGCTTGTCTGTAATTATCTGGGAAGGGCCCATCCAGGTTTCTGTTCGATTAGTTGTAACAATATAACAACCACTTGGCGGCTCATGATGACCAATTGAATCTTTTGCGGATGGAGGCGGTACACGGGGGCAACCAATAGACATGCTTAAAGTGCATGAACCAAGAGGACTCCACTTACTCAGGCCTTTATTAAGATTACTGTTCTCAATTATATTGACTCCAAACGGTATATTCTGCAAATAGATAAGCATTTTTCAGACAATCAGACAAGAAGAAAATGGGTAAGGAATCCTGACAGATTCTTTGAATATATAGGATTGCTTACCCTATCTAGCTGTTCACAACTTTAAATTGCTAGAAAGAAGAGACAGAATAACATTGCGTGAAGTTTTAACTACTCATAATTTCCAACACTTATGGCCTAAGGTAGAAAATCCCATGCTTAGAATACTATGAGGAGCAAAGTTCAATATAATTTTTAGTGGTGATCTTTTCTTTGATCCATACCCAGGTTATGACAACAATCAAAGATGAGAAATGACACAGTATTAGGCTTCATTTGGGACGGCTTTCTTACTGTTTCTTAAAGCAGCTTTTTAGTATCATCCCAAACGAAGCTTTAGACCGATCATGTCATTGAAATATGATATGTACAGTAGTCTTACTTCTTCAATATTAGTCTAGCTGGAAACTCAAAGGGACCATATAATTTCAAGATACATATGAAATTTTCTTGGGTTGGTGGGAATTGAGGAATTCTATGGGCACATGTTAATCAAAGGTTAAATGCACGTTTTAGGTCTTGAAAAACATGTAGGTCCCACAAACATGTTAGTGGAGGAAAATCTTATTATGCTTTTTTGACAAATAACGAATGACTATGATATACAGAGTACAAAAGGTTAAAATTAGATAAAAACCTCAATTAGAAAGATATAAGATATTAATAAAATATATCAATATTTTCCTACTTTAGGATCATCCTATATATGTCATTACCTCCTGCTTGTTACATAGCTTAAAAAATTAAAGTGGGCCTAAAATATTAGTAATTGTTCAAATAAGCTGGGAACATGAGTAACAATTGTCATTGTCACATTGATATGTTTTCTTCTTTCATGTAACACAAGATTGCTAGCAATGAAGATTACATTACAATTGTCACATTCTATGATGTGAAACGTACATGCGAGGATGAATAGATTAAGGAATTTGCACGCTTAATTTTAAAAAAATTATAAGCAACAAAATAAAACACAAGGATGGTAAGACAAGCTTAGGCTAAATCACATGCATAGGAGTTAAGATCATAACACAGTCAATTTAATCTAATGTTGCATACATGATTGATTTTCAACAATAAATCTCAATGTTAATAATAAGATTAGTACTGTGAAGGATTCATTCCTCATTCAACTCCCTAAATTATTATGCTTTAGCGGAGGGATCAACAAGACTCGTTGTGAATCAAACTATAACCACAATTGGAAGGTGAATTAAGAAGACAATAGAGTAGGAAGAAAAGTTACCAAGAGAACGACAAATACGGCGCTCTGGTGTAGTCACTTATGCGTTTGAGGAAGAGTGGACAGCAACTTCAGGTTTGGGAGCCTTCAGGATGGCGATGGGGAACCTTCTGGACAGCGAGACAGCCATAGGAGGTCACCAAAAATTACTGGACAGCAGCTAGGGACGCCGAGACAGCAGCAATGAGGGTTAGGACAGCAATTCGGCACTTGAAATGCTTCTGGACAGCAACACAAACAGCTTCCCGAAAATCTGGGCAGCAGGTTTCACGTGCTGGAAACTCCAAACAGCAACCAGGAAAAGTCTGGGCAGCAATAGGGTGAGTTCCAGGGCTGGAAAGCAGGTGTGGAAGTATAGGAATCTGCTGGGCAAAAGTTTAACGGGGTCCTGGGAAGGCCGGGCAGCAGCTATGCACTACAGGATGCATTTGTCAATCATAAACGGTCTTCTGGAATCACCTGGAAGCAAGTTAGGTGACGTCCAGACATCTGGACAGCACTTGAAAACTCCAGGAAAGAGAGAAATCAGATAGAAGAGGGGCTTGGAGAGGGCGGATAGGGTTGAGGTGGATTACGGAATTGATTGGAGGATTAATTTGAGGAAGGAATTGTGTTAATTAGATCCCTAATTTATGGGATCTAATTAAATTAATTAGGGTTTATGTTAAAATCTGAATTTAGTTTTCAAATTTAGAGAGAGGGAATCTTCAATTTGAAGTTCAAATTAATTCCCATAAGGTGGTTTGTTTGGGCAGCAGCCAAGGAGGGTTTAATGGATGATTTAATGAGTGTCTAGGTGGCAAATTGGGGAGAGAAAGGGACTAGAGAGGGGCCGGCCACATGAGGGGAAATTTGAGGTGTTTGCAATTAATATGTGGACCCGGAAAGGATTTAAGTGAGGCTTGCCATTTAAATCTGAAATTGATTTCAGATTTTAATGGCATTATGAGGTTTCCTAACGTACGTTATTAATAGGGAAAGTTTTAGAATTTAAATTTGAATTTGAATCTAAATGAATAACTTTCCAAATTAATGAGGACACAAATTATGAAAGTAATTAAGGATGATTTTGAAATTTGAAATTCAAAATCATTGGGTGGTGGATTGATGGCCGGCGGCTTGTAGGGCTTGGGGAGGCCGGCGATGAAGGGGTGGCTGGGGTTGGTGGTGGATGGGTGAGGGAAGGCCGGCGGCACAAGGGGAGGTGATCGGGTGGGGGTCGGGTTTTGGGGCGAGGGAAAGGTGATGGGGTTTGGGCGGCCCGCGGGTAATGGCTAGGAGGAGATGGAAGTGAAGGGAAGAAAAAGAAGAAAATAACTTTGGAGCCGCGAACCTTGGACCCTTCCAAAGGTTGACGGGTATTGCGATTGCCAACACCTTGGGTCTTCCTTCTTCTCTCAAACACTCAACATTGAGGGAGACAGAGAAATCTAAATTTTCATTAATCAATCATCATTCTAAAATACAAGAGAACTAGCCTATAAATAAGCCTCATGAAAAGAAAAGAAATAATAACTAAAATGTACTTTGGGCTACAACACCACATGACCACCCTTAGGGGTAAAATGGGAAAAATAGAAATATAAAATAAACTAGTACAATAGACACATAAAAAAAAAAAAAACTCCAGATCGTCGCCGTTGATCTTCTGATGTCCTCATCATTCTATGATCATGAGTTGCGCAATTAACCAAATTCTTCTAGGAGATTCCTAACCTGCAACATCTCAGTGTACATGGATCTTTATTTTAACTTAGCGCTTGATTTAGCCACGAGTATTTATTTTTTACTCTTCCTAGCATTTTACTCTAATAACTCTGTTCTAATCACTTCTAATAAGAATGATTTAATCAACATATGTTGTGAATAACAAAACCAGATGAATGATGTCTGACGAAGATAGAATGATATGTTGTATTATTGCAAAAGCCAAACATAGTAGGAATTATGCAAAACTTATCAAACCAAGCACAAGGCCTTTACTTAAGACCATATATGGTCATGCTGAGTTTTCATACTTTGGTCTTCCCCAAAGCAACGTATCATGTTGGTTGCTGCAAAACACAAATCCCTAAATTTAAGCAGCATAAAGGAAGCACTACACACATCTATTTGTAGCAAAGGCCATCCTTGATTGATGGTGACACAAGAATTCAGACGGAGTTGAGTCTAAAACTTGTGAGAATGTGTAAAAATAGTGGATATCTTGGGCTCGATTAAAGACATTTGGCTACTAGGAGAGCCGTATATCCTGTGGGCTCCAAAATTTTGCGCCCTGGCCTCTCTCTGCTTTCAAGAAAATTTTAACGAATTATGTTTTGGGATAAATAAAAATAACTCACATTTTCTTGGTGATATCTTAGAGCAAGGAAGTAGAGATGATGGATTTAAGACTATTTAGCAACCATATAACGATAGCATAATTAGATGCTTAACATCTAGGAAATTTGATGGTGTCATCACTAGTAAAAGGAGACACATCAAGATGTTAAAGTTTTTTCATGAGAACCAACAAGGAAATATCAGTATCATTGCATTTGATGGTGATACCGAAGGTGAAGGAAAATTTAAACTCATTAACATGAGATGGAGAAGTAATGACATCATGAGAAAAGAGGAATAAAGAATATAAGATTTGTCATAGATTAATGAGAGTGGGGGAGGTAAAAAAGATTAGGCCTTGAGTATGGGGCGAGCGATTGCAAACAAGGCAGTGGAAGGCATGTAGGGGTCATTGTAGTGTTGATAGTGATGGGAAACACGACAAAGGCAAGTTAAGGTGGTCACATAACCCAGTAAAATATTACAAGGATAAACAATCAAAAGGAGGTGCAAGCGAGCAATGCATGAGTGGGCTATAGGACATGCAACTGAGTATAGGAGTGGGGGTGTAGAAGAACAAGTATTGAGAATGTGCTAGGTTACAAGTGAGCGACCGCAGAGGAGAGTACATGATTGAATGAGGAGAGTGAATGTTCAGGTGGATGAAATCTATAAGAACGATGAGGGGTGGGGTGAACGATGGCCAGGGTTAGAATTAAACCTTCTCTAATACCATGTTAAAGGAGAATAATCTTAGTGTTATTGACTCATAATGAGTGAGCACATGATAAATCTATAAGAAAAGAAATACGTTAGAGAATATATTCAATTATAAGGATATAAAATAGCAATAAACATATCAATATTTATATTTTAATAATGTTATGTTATATTATTCCCAATCTAGCACTTTCCAACACATGCATAACATAAACAAAGTTAAGGCCTAAAGTCATAATTTATATGAAAAAGAATCCCCATGACCAGCACAACATGGTCAGACAGTCTAAACAAATTGTGTTTGCTAATGAATAAGTTTCAAACTTTCTGGCTATTTTGAAAATAAAAGAGCTAGGATTTAATATTTTATCATTATATGGATATTTATAAGAAAACTTATGAGCAGTTAAGGCAAGGAAAATGAACAAATTCTGATACCTTAAACTTCTTCAAAGTTGAATGAGCCACTACAACAGAATCTATGAGCAAGTCATGTCCAGGAGGCGGCCCTTCGAGGAAGAATACTACACGATGAGGCATACTTGTCAATGAGAAGGAACCTTCAAGCTTTTCCCATCTTTCATTTGATGCTAAAACTCTGCAATGATCGCATTTAATTTTGTTTAAAAATTATGTGTGTGTGTATAAATATACTGCGTGTAAGA